GGATTGATGAGGGCAGAGTGGTGGATGTGACCTATATGGACTTCCGTAAGGCGTTTGACCAGGTTCCTCATGGTCGACTGGTGAGCAAGGTTAGATCATGTGGAATACAGGGAGAACTAGCAGTGTGGATACAGAACGAGCTTGAATGTAGAAGACAGAGGGTGGTGGTGGAGAGTTGCTTTTCAGACGGGAGGCCTGTGACCAGCAGTGTGCCACACAGATGGGTCCACTGCTTTTTGTCAATTATATACATGATTTGGATGTGAACGTAGGAGGTATGGTTAGTAAGTTTGCAGATGACGCTAAAATTGGAGGTGTAGTGGACAGCAAAGGAGTTTTCTTCAGGGTACAAAGGGATCTTGATTAGATGGGCCAACGGGCTGAGGAGTGGCAGATGGAGATTAACTTAGATAAATGTGAGGTGCTGCATTTTGGAAAGGCAAATCAGGGCAGGATTTATACACTTAATGGTAAGGTCCTGGGGTGTATTACTGAACAAAGAGACCTTGCAGTGCAGGTTCATATTTCCTTGAACGTAGAGTTGCAGGTAGATAGAATAGTAAAGAAGGTGTTTGGTATGCTTGCCTTTATTGGTCAGTGCATTGAGTAAAGGAGTTAGGAGGTCATATTGCAGCTGTACAGGACATGGTTAGGCAACTATTGGAATACTATGTGCAATTCTGGTCTCCCTGCTATTGGAAGGATGTTATGAAACTTGAAAGAGTTCAGAAAAGATTTACAAGGACATTGCCAGGGTCGGAGGGTTTGAGCTTTAAGGTTGAATAGGCTGGGGCTATTTTCCCTGGAGCATCGGAGGCTGAGTGATGACTTTATAGAAGTTAATAAATCATGAGAGGCATGGATAGAGTGAATAGACAAGGTCTTACAAGGTTAGGGGGGTCCAAAACTAGATGGCGTAGGTTTAAGGTGAGAGGGAAAAGATTTAAAAGATATCTAAGGGGCAACATTTTCACGCAGAGGGTGGTATGCGTGTGGAATGAGCTGCCAGAGGAAGTGGTGGAGGCTGGTACAATTACAATATTTAAAAGGCATCTGGATGGGTATACGAATCAAAAAGGTTTAGAGGGATATGAGCCAAATGCTGGCAAATGGGACTAGATTTATTTGGGATATCTGGTTGGCATGGATAAGTTGGACCAAAGGGTCCGTTTCTGTGCTGTATATCTCTATGACTCAGGCTGAGGAGGGCCCTGCTCCTGATAAAAAGCAAGGGATCTTTCAGACTATCGCCCTTGGAATGCTCTTGTGGTGCAGTGTTAGTGTCCCTAACTCTGAGCCAGGAGGCCCAGGTTCAAGCCCCACCTGCTCCAGAGGTGCGTCGTAACATCTCTGAACAGGTTGATTAGAAAATACCCTCTGAAAACCCCCTTAAAGATAATTGTACCTAGAGTAGGAGCACCTTAAGTGGGAGAGACAGGTGACTGAAAGCAGAGGCTCAGAAGAAGTAGGTTCAGAGTCATAGAGCTCAGATTGTACATTGTGCCCTGGCTTTGTGATGTACTGATAAAACAAAGAGTGTTGCACCTCCCTAGCACCGATGGATTTGACACCACATTGCTGTTTTGGAACAGAAATGGCTTGTGAACAATATGCGTACACTTCCAGCACAGTCAGCACCGAGTACCATTTTAATGAAGATGTCAGCATGGCCTTTGGCGTGAGCACCAGAAGCATGCAGAGTAGACAGATCCTGATCTTAAGCTGGTGAATTTGGAGGCAGGGCTGTCACCTTTAACCCTGCCACCCTCTCTTAAATATCACAGTTGTGTGCAGCAGGAAGATTCTACTCTCAGCAGTGTTGTTTAAAGTGTATCAACAAATTCCAGTTTAGTTGCTGATTAACATATACTGGTTCTGCTGAACTTACAGGAATGCTTGATCGTATGCAGAGTTTGGTAAAGTTGGTGAAGCCTGCAGGGGGGAATGCTGCATGGATAGCACATCTAACAAATAGGTCACTGCAGATTAAGAGCTTGCAGACAAAGAGTGAATGCTAGACAGTCTAGAAAGACCAGGCATGTGATGCGAGAGTCCGTTCAATCTATGTCACTCATTAACCAGTTTCACATTTTCTAAACTGTTGAGGGCAATGGTTCATCTGAGGATTATAGCAAGAAACAAATGGTTAGATTCATAGAGTCATGGAGATATACAGCACGGAAACAGACCCTTCGGTCCAATTCGTCCATGCTGACCAGATATCCTAAATTAATCTAGTCCCATTTGCCAGCATTTAGCCCATATCCCTCTAAACCCCTCCTATTCGTATACCTATCCAGATGCCTTTTAAATGTTGTAATTGTACCCACCTTCATCACTTTGTCTGGCAACTCATTCCATACACACACCACCCTCTGCATGAAAAAGTCACCCCTTAGGTCCCTTTAAAATCTTTCCCCTCTCGCCTTAAACCTCTGCCCTCTAGTTCTGGACTCCCCACCCCAGGGAAAAGACCTTGTCTATTTACCCTATCCATGACTCTCATGATTGTATAAATCACTATAAGGCCATCCCTCAGCCTCCAATGCTCCAGGGAAAATGCCCCTAGCCTATTCAGCCACTCCCTATAGCTTAAACACTCTAAACCCTGGCAACATCCTTGTAAATCTTTTCTGCACCCTTTCAAGTTTAACAACAACTTTCCTATAGCAGGGAGACCAGAATTGAAAAAATTATTCCAAAAGTGGCCTCACCAATGTTCTATACAGCTGCAACATGACATCCCAACTCCTATACTCAATGCACTGACCAATGAAGGCAAATGTACCAAATGCCTTCTTCAATACCCAGTCTATCTGGCACCTCAAGCGGCTCAGCTGTGCAGATAGCAGGGGTGGGGTGGTGAGAAGAGTGGATTGAAATAATGGGAGGAGATTCAATCACTGGGGAAAGACAGGCATTTCTGTGACCATAGACATAACTCCAAGAAGGAATGTTTCCTCCGTGATGCCAGGATCAATGATGTCATAGAGAGGTCACTAGTGCCCTAGTGAATCATGTAACTCAGGTTGTGGATAGGAGTTTAAACATACAAAGGGCTTGATCTGGGTGAAGAGGAGGTGTTGGTGAGAGAGATTTAGAAATCCAAGGAGAAAACTTGAGACAATAGGATAGTGTAGAGACATGAGTAAAGATAAACAGAGTGGGTCAGGAAGGGACAAAGAGTGGGATCTTATGGTAGCCCAAGCTGTGGGAGATTTGTGTCAGAATCGGTTGAGATGTCTGACAAGATCTATTTCGATATCGGGAGTATCTTGCAGCATCTTTTATGCATTTGTGGTGAGGGAAGATTTTCACTAGACAACAGTGAGCTGCAAATTAAGGATGATTGTAGCTTATTAACTCCGCAACTCACCTCAATAATATTCAACTTGCTAAATTTTCCAAATGTGCCGGACAAGCTGGACGTTGAGAATTCTAAACATGGAAGTCAGACTGGATAACATTCAAAGAAACAAATCAAAATGTTCAACAACATAGATTCCATTAAACTCAGCAAGAATGTCTTTCTGTGGCTGACTCAAGAAGTTAAGAATAACATTTGATTAAAAGAAAAAGGATTATAATTATTTTCAATCACTTGTTCAGACATGTTCTGATTTTTTTTGTTGTCTGTGTATATGTGTGTAAGGGTTTTTTATAAGGGGATCAGAGTTTTCATTAATAGAGTTATATGCTGATGGTTTATAATTACTTATCTGTAGCTGGAGGCTAATTACGTGTAATAAATAATCATTGTTGTTAAGTACAGAAACCTCATCTATGCTTTCTGTAAACCCGTGACTAGAAGACAAGGAAATTGGAGGATTTTATTTAGTTTTCAAAGTCTTAACCTTTTGTGATAACTCAGGGAATAATGGGGCTTACTATTCAGTGTGCTACCCCAGTGAGGTGTCACAAATATTAGCAATTTGAAGATTGGGAGTATTTTATAAACCAGTGCAAAAAATTGATGATATGGATAAAGATAGAAGATTTTTAAACAAACTTTTGAAGAGATTTGACAAGATAGTCACAGAGAGGTTTTTCCCTAGCCGGGAAATGAGAAATCTTGAACACCTCTTTAGGATAAGAAGCAAATGAAATGAGAAAAAATGTCTTCATATAAAGGTGTTTCAGAGATAGTAGGAACTACAGATGTTGGAGAATCTGAGATAACAAGGTGTAGAGCTGGATGGATATAGCAGGCCAAGCAGCATCAGAGGAGCGGGAAGGCTGACGTTTCGGGCCTC